TTTTGTTTTTTGGGAGTTTTTTTGTTTTGTTTTGTTTTTTTTGAGAGAAGGTCTCACTTTGCTGCCCAGGCTGGAGCGCAGTGGTGTGATCATGGCTCACGCAATCTCAAACTCCCGGGTTCAAGCAATCCTCTTACCTCAGCCCCCTGAGCAGCTAGGACTACAGGTACCTGCCACCACACCTGGCTAATTTTTGTATTTTTAGTAGAGACAGGGTTTTGCCATGTTGGCCAGGCTGGTCTTGAGCTGCTGGACTCAAGTGATCCACCCACCTTGGCCTCCCAAAGTGCTGGGATTACAGGCGTGAGCCACCGCGCCCAGCTGGAAGTCTCCATGGAAAAACTGACATGGGAAGGAACCAGCCCCAGGAAGGAACCAGCCCCCAGAAGGACTGAGGAAGCATATCAGATATCCTGGATAAGGTTTAGTGCATCAGAACAGAAAAGAAGGCCAGTATGATCAGAGTTTAGTCAGGGATGGGGAGAGACATCAGAGCCAGATCCTGTGGGGTTTATGGAGCAGGGGAAGGAGTTTGGATAGTGTTTTAATGCAGTAAGCAGTCACTGGGGAGATCTCAGTGAAAAAGTGATGGGCTCTGATTTACCCAGCCATAGTCTGCAGTAACCACATGGATTTCTAGAGACATTCCTTCTGCGGCTTTCCTCCCCAAACTCCACTGGTGCTCATGTTGACTCATCTGTCATTTTCACTTCCTTTCTGACAGAGTAGCTGAGCTGAGCGAACAACAGAGCAGATGGACAATAGTCTGGCCTCTGCGTGAAGCCACCAGTTCACGGGAAATACAGGGGGCAGAGGAACATGTTAAGTGGCACCACAGGGATCCTGAAAGTGGGGAAATCCACAGGACGGGTGACCCTTTTCCTTCAACAAGTAAAGAGCATCAAAATAAAGGAAGGTGGCCATTGTAGAGTAAAGGAGACTTAAGAAAATACCTGCACAAGCAGAAGATAATTTCGAACAAACCAGCTCACAAAAGACACCTGCGAGACAATGACGGGAAATGTAATGCAGGCAGGGTACTGCATGACATTAAAGAATTCTTGTTAATTTAGATGAGTATGATAATGTTATTGTAGTAATTTTTTTTAAACCTTACCTACTAGAGATATAAGCTAAAGTATTTATGGGTGAAATGACCTGATGTCTGGCCGGGTATGGTGGCTCATACCTGTAATACTAGCACTTTGGGAGGCTGAGGTGGGCAGGGATTGCCTGAAGTCAGGAATTCGAGACCAGTCTGGCCAATATGACGAAACCCTGTCTCTACTAAAAATACAAAAACTTAGCCGGGCAAGGGAGTGCATGCTGGAATTCCAGCTACTTGGGAGGCTGAGGCAGGAGAATCATTCGAACCCTCAAGGTGGAGGTTGCAGTGAGCCAAGCATGTGCCACTGCACTCGAGCCTGGGGTGACAGAATGAGACTCTGTCTCAAAAAAAAAAAAAAAAGACCTGATGTCTGGGGTTTACTCTAAAACATTCTATTAGAAACAAAGAAGGTCATAAGGTGGGGTGAATAGATGAAATGGGAATAGGAACTAGTTAGTGGTTGTTGGAGCTGATGGGTGACTCAGTCTCCTCTCTGCCTTTGAGTTTGTTTGCAAATTTCCATAATAAGTTTTTTTTAATGAGTGAGGCTGTCAAGAAAAGTCACATGTCCCACTTTCTGGGAGCAGTAACACGGCTATCGCAGCTCACATTTTCCTTTTCTCCCATTTCAGCATGGCGGGGACAACTTCCTCGCCACCTCCGGCTGGCCAGCCCCTGCAACTGCTGCCTGCTCAGTGGTGCTGAGCCACTCGGTCTGGAGCCCCCAGGACAGCACCTGCTTCCTGAGGTTGTCCTGGCTCAGCTGTGCACAGCGATGGTGGAGAACTGGACTCCACAGGCTCACAACCTTCCTGTCAGGTTTCAGGGCCCAGCATCCTTCATCCTGGGCCTGGCGGCCCTGAACAATGGCTGAGGGGTGGGGAACCCTATAGAGTGACACCACATCGTACCGGGCCAGCAGCACTCCAGTGCCCGTGGACTATGACCACCTATCGGGCCATCCCCAGCGATGGTGTGGACCTGGCAGCCAGCTGTGGGGCCAGGGTGGGCGATGTCCTCCCTGGGCCACACACAGGGGACTATGCTCCCTTGGGATTCTGGGCCCAGAATGGCAGCATGTCCCAGCCTCTTGGTGACAGCCCGGTCACCGCCACCGCCACCACCCGCCCCAGCCCCACCACCCCCGCAATGCCGAAGATGGGTGTACGCGCAAGGGTGGCCGACTGGCCGCCCAAGCGGGAGGCCCTGAGAGAGCAGAGCAACCCAAGCCCCTCACAGGACACAGATGGCACAAAGGCCACCAAGATGGCCCATTCCATGAGAAGCATACAGAACGGACAGCCCGCCACCAGCACCCCAGCTTCCTCAGGGTCCAAAGCCTTCCACCGACTCTCCAGGAGAAGGTCCAAAGACGTGGAGTTCCAGGACGGGTGGCCCCGGTCCCCCGGCAGGGCCTTCCTCCCCCTTCGGCACCGCAGCAGCAGCGAGATAACGCTCAGCGAGTGTGACGCGGAGGACGCGGGGGAGCCGCGCGGGGTCCGGCACACGGGGGCGCTGCCCCTCTTCCGCGAGTATGGGAGCACCTCGTCCATCGATGTGCAGGGCATGCCGGAGCAGAGCTTCTTCGACATCCTCAACGAGTTCCGCAGCGAGCAGCCCGACGCCCGGGGCTGCCAGGCCCTCACCGAGCTCCTCCGGGCAGATCCTGGCCCGCACCTCATGGGGGGCGGAGGCGGAGCCAAGGAGGACTGCCACAACGGGCAGCCAGCCAAGGACAGCCTCCTGCCGCTGCAGCCCGCGAAGGAGAAGGAGAAGACCCGGAAGAAACCTGCGCGGGGCCTCAGCGGCGGGGACTCAGTGGACTCGTCCATCTTTCGGAAGCTAAGGAGCAGCAAACCCGAGGGGGAGGCTGGGCGGTCCCCGGGGGAGGCCGACGAGGGCCGCAGCCCTCCGGAAGCCAGCAGGCCGTGGGTGTGTCAGAAGAGCTTCGCCCACTTCGACGTGCAGAGCATGCTGTTCGATCTCAACGAGGCGGCCGCCAACAGGGTGTCGGTGTCGCAGAGGCGGAACACCACCACGGGCGCCTCGGCCGCCTCCGCCGCCTCGGCCATGGCCTCCCTCACGGCCTCGCGGGCCCACAGCCTCGGAGGCCTGGACCCGGCCTTCACCAGCACAGAGGACCTAAACTGCAAGGAGAACTTGGAGCAGGACCTCGGCGATGACAACAGCAATGACCTGCTGCTCAGCTGCCCACACTTCCGCAACGAGATTGGGGGCGAGTGTGAGCGCAACGTGAGCTTCTCCCGGGCTTCCGTGGGCTCCCCGAGCAGCGGCGAGGGCCACCTGGCAGAGCCCTCCCTGAGCGCCTACCGCACCAACGCCAGCATCTCAGTACTGGAAGTGCCCAAGGAGCAGCAGAGGACGCAGAGTCGGCCCCGGCAGTACAGCATCGAGCATGTGGACCTGGGCGCCCGCTACTACCAGGATTTCTTCGTGGGCAAAGGTGACGGATGGCGGGTGGGTGGGAGGGTTGGGTGGGCCGCGGCTTGTCTCCGAGACCCCTACTTATTCATTTACTCTGTGCCAGGTACTGCTCTGGCACTGAGGATGTGGCAGGAACAGAGACCTCCCTTCTGGAGGGCTGTGAGGATCCGGTGAGCAGAGCCACCCGGGCCTCAGCCCTGTGTCTGACACAGCAGCACTCCATAAACCTGGAGCTACAGGACACAACAGCTCTGCATTTACTCAGCACATACGGGCTTGGGACAGCTCAGTGCCAGGCACTCTCTAGAGCCTGGGGGTATAGTATCAACCAGCTTGAAACAAATATTCTGTCTTCCCAGCACTTTTAATGTTTTCATGGGTAAGACAAACAATAGAACAGGATAAATACGAAAAATACACAGGGGATTATAGGGTGCTAAATGCAGTGGAAAAGAGTAAAGTGGGGGCCGGGCGCGGTGGCTCAAGCCTGTAATCCCAGCACTTTGGGAGGCCGAGACGGGCGGATCACGAGGTCAGGAGATCGAGACCATCCTGGCGAACACGGTGAAACCCCGTCTCTACTAAAAAATATAAAAAAACTAGCCGGGCGAGGTGGCGGGCGCCTGTAGTCCCAGCTACTCGGGAGGCTGAGGCAGGAGAATGGCGTGAACCCGGGAGGCGGAGCTTGGATTGCACCACTGCACTCCAGCCTGGATGACAGCCAGACTCCATCTCAACAAAAAAAAAAAAAAAAAAAAAAAAAAAGAGTAAAGTGGGGAAGAAGGAAATGGAGTGTTAGGGGGTGGGGGCAGATCTCAGTAGAGGATGGTCAGAGAGGGCCTCGGAGGCAGGTGCGGTTTGAGTACCGAGCTGAAAGCACCATGTGCAAATTGCAGACCCTGTTCCCAGAACAGAGCAGCGAATACGTAAGTCTTGGAACTGCCAGGCGCGGTGGCTCACGCCTGTAATCCCAACACTTTGGGAGGCCGAGGACGGCGGATCACTTGAGGTCAGGAGTTCAAGACCAGCCTGGCCAACATGGCGAAACCCTGCCTCCTCTAAAAATACAAAAATTAGCCAGGTGTGGTAGCACATGCCTGTAGTCCTAGCTACTCGGGAGGCTGAGACAGGAGAATCTCTTGAACCCGAGAGGCGGGGGGTTGCAGTGAACCAAGATCGTGCCACTGCACTCCAGCCTCCAACTTGAGTGACAGAGCGAAACTCCATCTCAAAAAAAAAAAAGTCCTGGAATGTTGGAGGAACAGACAGGAGGTCAGTGTTGCTGGGGCAGAGTGATGGGGTAGAGTGGATGGAGCTGACGCAGAGGGGTGACAGGGGCAGGTCATGTGGGACTATAGCAAGGACTCTCATTTGTACCCTGCATGAGATGGAGCCACAGGACGGCTTTGAGCAGGGCAGGGCCCTCCTCTGACTCCTGTGTTCACGACCTGCCCCCAGCTGCATGTGGGGAGCAGACTGTGAGGGATGGGGAGAGGACAGGGGAACAGGCAGGAGGCTGCTGCAGTCATCCAGGCAGGAGATGATGGACATGGCTAAGATGGGAGCCTAGAAGTGGGGAAGAATCTTGCGAGCTACTACTGGATCCATTTAGGAGTGCGGTGACGCCATCTCTGCTCACTGCAACCTCCACCTCCCAGGTTCAAGCGATTCGTGGGCCTCAGCCTCCCAAGGAGCTGGGACTACAGGTGTGCACCACCACACCCAGCTAATTTTTTTTTGTATTTTTAGTAGAGATGGGGTTTCACCATGTTGGCCAGGATGGTCTTGATCTCCTGACCTTGTGATCTGCCCGCCTCACCCTCCCAAAGTGCTGGGATTACAAGTGTGAGCCATCGCACCCGGCCTCTGGATCCACTTTGAAGGCGAAGCTGTTGATGTTTGGAGGGTGTTAACATCAGGGAGAGATGGGCTTCATACATGATTAGTGCTGGTGAGGCATTCCCAGGAGACAGCATAGCGTATTGCAGAGACCATAAACCCAGGCAGCTTCAGGGGACAGCAGAACACTGCAAGAGTACGGCATGCTAGGCAAAGACTAGGCCATTCCTGCCCGGTGCCAGCTGACTGTTGTCATGCAAGACATGCAGACAAATCTAGTGTTACCAGCCTTTCCAGTTTTTCAAGATTCTCCTGAAACTCAGATTTTTTAAAATATAGACTTTACTGATTTTTAGATGGTGGCAGCTATAACGATTCAGAATTATTAGCTGGGTATGATGGCTCATGCCTGTAATCCCAGCACTTTGGGAGGCTGAGGCAGGCGGATCACTTGAGGTCAGAAGTTCAAGACCAGCTTGGCCAACATGGTGAAACCACGTCTCTACTAAAAATACAAAAAAATTAGCCAGGCGTGGTGACATGTGGCTGTAATCCCAGATACTTGAGAGGCTGAGGCAGGAGAATCACTTGAACCCAGGAGGCAGATGTTGCAGTGGGCCGAGATCATGCCACTGCACTTCAGTCTGGGTGACAGAGTGAGACTCTGTCTCCAAAAAAAAAAAAAAAATCAGAATTGCTTGTAACTGCTAGTAACAGGCTTAAACAACATAGAAGTGACTCTCCTGTGAAGAAATCCAGAGTTCAGCAGCCCAGGGCTGGTTTGGTCAGTCTTCAGCATCAGTGGAACATCAGCCTTAGTGCATGGCATGATCCCCCGCCGCCCCGCACCAAGATAGCTGCTGGAGTTACAGGCATCACATCTGTGTTTCCAGGCAGAGAAAAAGAGGAAAGGGTAAGGACAAAAAGGCAGACCTCTTGTCAAGTCAACCCCCTTATGCTGTTATGCCTAGTGTTTCATTATTGGAACACTAAGCATGTGGGAGTTATAGCCTACTGCTCAAGGTCATTGCCAGGGTCTGAATTTTTACTCCTGGAAAAATCCACAAAATGGCAGTTTCCAGCATAAATGGGTTAAAGAGCTTTCTCAGAAGCCCCATCCAACCACTTCCACTTAGTGACCACACCTGTGTGCAAGGAGGCTGGGAAATATAGATTTTTAGCTAGACAGTTTCTCTTTTCCAAGAATAGAGGGTTTTTCTTAAAAAAAAAAAAAAAA